TATAGAATAACATCTGAGATTCAAAATTTATGGCATTATAATATGTACAGTTGGAATTTAGAGGACAAAGGCCTTTTAGGGGGTTTGAGTTCTAAGGAAAGTTTTATGCTCTAGATCGTCAAAACAGGAATCCCTGATTTCTCCTCATTTCAATATCTTTGTCTTTATGCTTGATTTTTTAATCCAATAGTCTTTTTCTCAGTTTGTTTCCCATTTTACAAAGTTTTTATTCTGAAAGTCTCAAATTTCTTAAGTCACAGAAATAGTACAAAAGCTCCTATATCATCCTTTCCTCAAGACTCTGTTAACATTTCTCTAACTGCTCCAATTCAGAATAAGTTGCTGACATGGTTTCCCATTGCTGTTTACTTCCTAAGTACAGGGCACCTCTAATACAGCCACATCAAAATTAGATAATTAATATCCATACATTACCATCATGTAATCCACAAACTCCATTCACGTTTTGCTCAGTATTCTAATAATGTCTTTTATTGGACTAAGATCCAAACCAGGAGCATGAGTCACATGGCCAGTCTTTAAGTGAAACGGTCCTACAGTTTCCTTGTCTTTCATGACCCTGACATTTTTGACGATTGCTGACCATTACTTTACAGACTAATGCCTCAATTTGGATTTCTCTTATTTTATGACTTATGCGTATTTGGCAGGTATACACCACAAAAGTGATGCTGTGCTCTTCTTGGTCACAAGAAACACATATTGTTGATTTGTCTCATTATTGGTGATATTAACTTTAATCACTTGGTTAAAATAGATTCTGCTAGGGTTCTTCAGCACTAAGTAAACTAATGTTATACTTAATAACAAATATCTTGTAGGGAGATTAAAGCTATGTAAATATTCCTATTTGTCATCAAATTTTCACCTACTACATTTAGCATCCTTTGTTGATTTCGGCTAAATAATTATTACTACAATGGTTGCAGATTGGAGATTTTTAAAATTCCATCATTCCCTCTAGATTTATTGTTTGGTATTCTATTATAGAATGTTTTCATTCCCTTTTTATTCATTTATATCATTATGGGCCTGTGGATTATTTTATTCAAAGAATCACAATCCACCACTATCATTATTTGATGCTCTAATTTTCCCAGACTTGGGAACTCCTTCGAGCTAGCTCCTGTGTACTTTTGACATGTACTCATTATTCTTTGAACACCTTCTTTCTGGTGAAAGATGATATTCCAGGTTCATCTTATATTTTTCCTGCCCAAATCTTTGAATTAGTTTCTCCAAGGAGCACTGATTTCTTTTAGTGAAGAATGGGACTTAGAAACCAAGATCTGAGTGCTAGATATGCTACTGCTAACAGAGTATCATTGTTTCTAGATCTTATCAGCAGAATTAGAAAACATGTATACATATGTACATACGCAGAAACTATGTTTCTCCATCTTTATGTATATATTAAGTACCGTAAGTTCACTGATACTTCCAATTCCAATTCAATACTACAAGGTTTATTCTTGCTTTCCCCTTTCCCATTATTCTCAATATATTTATTTGCTCAACTAACGTGGTATGTAACCAAACTTCCATCCGTGTGGCCCAAACCAAAGGGAAGAGGAGGAAAAGAAAAGCGGGGTGAGGTGGTGGGGAAGGCCAGCTTGGTCCCAGACACGCTAGCTATAATTTTTTGGTGGATCAGCCCACAGGTAGGCTCCTAACCTTGTTATCTATTCTCCCCGCTAAGTTGCATACCCACATTTTCAGTATATAGGTTTTATAGGACATTGCCTTAATTGTACTGCTGACATTTGGTTGAAAGCATAACTAGCGGTCTTTTCACTCCATCCATATTTTTCCTCTATTTTAAGTCAGTGACAACATTCAGGCTAAAAACTTCAGCTGTCTTTGATATCTCTCACTTCACAATTCCACACATACTGTTTCATATGCCATGACCTTTAATTCATCTTTGTATTCCCAACACCTAATGTCTATTACCAAGTTGTGACTCAGTGAGGTAGACATTCATTTTGGGGTATGATTAACCCTGATCGCTGCTGACTCTAAAATGGCATTCTAATCTATCTCTCGTCTGCCTATTTGTATAGTTAATACCTCCTTGTCGTAAGTCTTTCTCCTCTATAAGTAATCCTTTATATTGTAAATTACCTAAAATTGATGTCATCATGCTCAAAAAGCCTTCAATATCTCATTGCTTTCAAAATCAAATCAAACTATCTGGGAAAAAGATAATATCTCCCACTATCAAGCTCTAACTTACCTTTCATCTCCCATTTATCATCTTTTACCCCTATGCTTGCTATAAGCATATTTGCTATTTCCTAAAACCAAAATGTTTCATGATTTCCCTCGTATTCTAATGCTCTGCTTCCTTTTTGTTTATATATTTTGTCTTTCAAACACAGCTTAAAAGTCATTTCTACCATGAGTTTCTTACTTCCAAGCATCCCCTTTTCTTACTCATATGCACTATTGTGCCACTTGAATGTTCTGCTCTGTATATTATAGCTAATTGTGCACATCTATCTCCCCAACTAGATTAGGAAATACCCTTAAGGCAGAAACCAAACTTATTTATCTTTAAATCTCAAGAGATTGCTATAATGTATTATACCCAATGTACTAAAAAATGCATTATTAGTTCCATAGAGGACAGGCAAGGTTATGATAGGTGATAACAAATCCAACCAGATGTAGCTTTATGTGCATAAGTACGCAGGCAGGGACAACAATGACTAATTCATGGGATGGCAAAGCCTGGGTGGAGCAGATGTTACATTAATGCAGTGCTTGGAAGAGGCCTAAAACCCACTGCATCACTGTATCATTGCCTTGCCTTACTGCAGTGCAACAGTTAACATGTACATACTCTCCTGTGCTATACATTTTTTTTGAGTAAGCAAAACTCAGGATAGGGAGTATAGAAAAGATTTCCTTTTCCTCTCAAGAAATGCATATTCTCAAGAAAGGGGAAGGAGGAATCCAACCTACTAACCGCAGAATCTTTACGTCTCTTGACTTACAAAACTGCAATTAATTTACACTAGCGCCTTCCACCCATTCATTAGAGAATTAACCAGGTTATATATACCATGCATGTACATAAAAAACCACCTCTTGGTGATTCCTTGCTTATCAACAGGAGCTCATATACTGAAAGCAAATACATATGTCAGGGTGAACCCTTGACTGTTTGCATGTTCTTTTTTTTTTGATGAGGTAATTTAGAGACCCATTGAAGAAATAGGCATCTGGGTCTCTTCTTTCAGTAAGTTTTGCAAGAGCAGAACAGACCCAAACCTCAGATAAAAGCCTGTGTATTTGCCCTTGTATACCTTGATAAGAAGTCTGGACATCAGCCAAGGGAACAGGATGGCGAAGCCTGGTGGGAACTAGAGGGATCAATGAAATGCATCCCCTTTATTTCAACATCTCAATGAGAAATTCAAATCTTGATATGAAATATTCTAGGGTTTGTTTAAAAGTATCATATATCTATCACATAACAAACCTGTTGTCTTTACCTGCATGTCCATCAGAAACTTCAGATTTAGCATGTTGGTAATAAAATATTAGAAAGTGTTCTCTTCCCTCTCTACCCTCAATTCATACTTCCTTGTATCTCTAAAATGTTTGCAGTGTCCAAGTATCCAAGTAGAATTGGAAAAGAACAGGTCAACTCCCTTTGCAATTGCAAGAAGACCCAAATACTAAAATTATTTTCAATTTTTTGCTGATCAATTGGCAATGAAGAATTACACTGTTTCTACCTCTCTCTGTACTTATTTCCTAAGGTTCATAAATCTGGCTTCCATACTAGCCACTTTAATGAAACTTCTCCTTTTGCTGAAGTTCTATGGTTTTCCTTGGGGCTCCATTCATGGCTCTTTCTTCATTCTGTTCATTTCTGCTATGTTACCTTATCTTTTCCTCTGATTTTGAACATCACAGATATACATATTCCCAAATCTGTATTGATGAGATCAGGCTTCTCTTTAGTCCAAGCTTAAATTATCAACCATCTCTGGCATTAACTATCTCTATCTCAGATTTAACATGTTGCTAATAAGACATTTTTTTAAGTGTCTTTTCTTTGCTTTCCATCCTAAATCTAATTCTGTATCCCTAAAATGTTCATGGCATTTACGGTGGCTTCAATATATGTTTACTAATTCTTTTTACACTCCCTGTAAGAGGTGAAGCTTAAGAGTGTAGACTTAGTAAGTTAATTCTAACAAGGAAAATATGGCAGGAGATGGTGCTTGATTTCCAAGAGTAGGCTACAAGATACTGTGGCTTCCGCCTTGCTTTCTCTTGGATTGCTTACTCTGGGGTAAGCCAGCTGCTATGTCATGACACTCAAGCAGATCTATGGAGAGGTACATGTAGTGAAAATGAGGCTTTCTGTCAATGACCAGTGAGACTGACACCTCCCACCATCACCAAGAGTGAGCCTTCTTGGAGGCAGATGCTCCATCCCCAGTAGACCATTTGAATGACTGCAGCCTCAGCCAATGGCTTGACTGCAGCTTTAGAGACCTTGAGCCAGAGGCACCAAGCTAAACTGCATCCAAACTGAGATAATGTTTCTTGTTTTAACTAGCTAAGTTCTGGGGTAATTTATTATGTAGCAATATGTAACCAATAGAGCATTTAAATCCAGAATCCAAGGAATCGAAATAGTGAAAGGAAATGAACATTTTTTACCAAATTTCTTCCCATTTTACATTCCTCCTTTTTCAATGCATAAAACCATCACTTACCCAGCATTCCAAATGGGAAACCTGAAAGCCATACTTGACTCTCCCTACCAACCATATCAGTGAGTTACTTTTTTCTTTTATCACTTGAGCCCATCCCTATTCTTATTGCTTTAATTCAGGGTCTTTACCATTTTTTTAAATTACTACAACACGGCTTTCCAACTTTTCTCCTTCCTTATGGTCTTTCTTGCTTCTAATTCCATTCTTTAGACTAATGTCAACAAGAGCTTTTTCAAGTACTTATCTGATCATGTTATTTTTATTAAAATTCACTACTTGTTCTCACACCATGTGGTACAGGTCAGAATTCAAATGCCATTGCATATTTGTCCCTGTCCTAGAGCTTTTCTCTCATCACCCCAGGCCATAGCCTACAAGCCTACAACCTAGCCATCTTTTACCTTTGTATATGCTGCTTTCTTTCTGTGTGGAAGATCTTTCATTCTTCCCTTATAGCTTCTACTCATTTTTAAAAGACTTGGCCCAAGCTTTCTCTCAGAAAACTTCTATTAATTATCAAGTCTAGGTTAGATAACTTCCTTATATTAATCAGAGCACTTATTCACATGGGTCAGTATTGTGTCCTTCATTAGAATGTGTGCTTCTGGAAAAAAAAAATCTATCACCGATCTCTACACATTCATTTATTCATATATCCACCTTATATTTACTAAGCAACTACATGACAGACAATATGTTAGTTATTTGCTACATAATGGTGAACAAAAGAAATATGCCCCTGCCTTTGCAGAGCATGCAGTCTATTCAAGAAGCCAGCAAGTGAAAAAACTAATATTATGAGATGTGAAAAAAGGACATATGAGAGTAAGTTGGGACCTGCTTTAGACTGCATGACACACAGGTGCACTCAAACTTTACTGAATTAAGTGGTCCAAGAGGTATGTACAAATTATACCTTCACCATGGAGGTATAAGTGGGTCAGGTTCATCACATCCTTGCCAACACTGAGTCTTTTTGCTTTTTTCTTTAAAAAAAAAAAAAAATCTTTACTCATATTATTAGTTTCACTTTGTTGCTTACACATTCTCAGTACTAAAAATCAAGAAAAAGAACACTAGACATGATCAAATATGTTAAAGGCTTAATTAAGCACAAGTGGAAAACTAAGATTAGCTTTATATATATTATCAACGTTAAGCAAATGCATAACTAAGATAATTTCAATATGATCTTGTAAGATCACACATTTTACTAAAAAGTAATATTAATAAAACGAAAGCCAAGTTTCCAGTATTCAGAAGTCTGAAGAAATAACTGTTGAGCTTTTTTAAAAAAGCAACTTCCAAGGGAATCCCTGACCCTCCCTGGGTTCACTGCCAAATGATTCACAACTAAAGTATTTCTGGGACATAGGAGTATGTAACAAAGTTAAAAAAAAATAATCAAGTCCATTTTAAAAAAAAGCTCAATGTTTTAAAAAGAAAATGGCAGAATGAGGAAATTATAAAATATGTAAAATAATTTTACTATTACTAATTAAAAAATATTTTATAACTGACCAAAAAAAAAATCAAAAAAAACCTTGGTAGTTGAGGATAAAAACATTCAACTGTTACTTATAATAGTTGAGATTACTAGGAATTTAAAAATTTCTAGATTTCTTATATTAATGTAGGTTTCTTATTAGCTTATATTAAAACACATTAAAAATTCCAAAACAAAGCTAACATTGTCTTGGATTACAAAACTTGTATTTATAAATGATGCACATATTTCTGAAAACTTTAGTGGACATTAAAGAACAAGGATACAAAAATTAAATAAGTCTATCCCTTAAGTCCAAATTGGCTACAGTAACATCGGCTGATCATGCTCTTTCCAAATTCATCTATATGGTCTTGAAAATTTTAAATTAATCAGTGTATGAGGAAAAAATAGCTTATGTTTTACCACACATTGGCTTTATCAGTCGAAATAATTAGACTTTTATGGAAAACATGCTCATCTCTTTGCTTTCAGTAGTGTACTTCAACACTCAGCTGGGATATGTACCGAGCGATGAGACATTCGTCACCAAGCCTGTAACACAAAAGTTATTGTTGTTGTTTTTAAACAGATGGCTGCCCAACAAGAAAATGTCAACTTGTGACTTTTCAGAGGCAGGAAGCTTTTTATTTTAATTTTGGCTTTTGCAACAGAATTTTGCCAAGTTTTTAAAGGTATTAACTTCATTAACCTGCAATAATCATCATTTTAAAATAGTATATAAAAACTGTCAAAATAGGTCAGAAATAAGGTTTACATATTGCTCAAAATTATTTGACAGTGGCAGAATTTAACCTTTTGAGCCAATCCCAATAGATTGGTAATATAACTCAAATTATTTAACATAACACACAATGATAAATATTGCTCCTGAAGAAAGCAAATGATTTTCCTATTTATAATTTTTGAAAAAGGTCTACTATAAAAATAATTATCTTTTCTATATATTTCCCTGCCATGATAATGTTAAAACATACCTAAATTTTCCTCAGACATCAAGACTTTAAGAGTACAGCATTCCATTCTAGTTGAAACATTCCTTCACATAACCAACATGCTTTTTCAAGGCACTCTAAGAACTCTCAAGGACACTAAAAGAAAAATGGTCATTTTGCCAATTGATCTTTGGGTATTATTTCTCCTCAAACTTTTCTAATTTGAACATTGTTATAACTGTTTTTTCTTCATTTTCCATGGAAGAGTCCTTAAGTTATTTTTCTTTTATTTGGAGCCACTCCTTCATTTTCAACTTGCTGAGCAGGCAGGCTTTTGGTTTCCATGGAAACTGGATTCCTGCGGCTGTGTGGAGGCATTCTTGTTCCACTAATCTAAGAGATGAAGCAAAGAACAGAATAGCTTGACATGTTTATAACATATTTATATACAGTCAACTCTGTATTATTTATACATGTACTACTCTCCTTGTGAATAGTCCTTTATATATTTTTTAAATCCCTAGCCATCTGGCTTCTTCTAAATAAACTTTAATCTGACAACGTTTTAAAGTACTAAATTCTCAAATAACAATCAAGGAAGGGAATAGATCGGGGTAGATGAAGTGAAGGGGGAAATCACTGTTAAATTTTGGAGAGGGTGAAATGCTAAATTAGAGAATGAGGGAATGACAAGCCTTTTTAGCAATGTGTTTGCAATGGTGAAGCTGAACGGCAGGAGAGAAGAAGAAATGAAAAATATAAAGAGAGGGAAAAGAAATACAAGAAGGTCAGAGGTTATAAAGAGGGAAGAGAAATTATAAAATGGAAAGAATAAAAAAACCCAGAAGAGTCTAAAGAGAAGGAAAAAAAGAATAAATCTGAAAGAAAGGGAAAAAAGAAACCAAGTAGAAAGGAAAAATTAAAGGACTGAAAGAGAAGATTTTTGCAAGAAAGAAATAAAGAAAAGGGGGGAGAAAAAATTGGAACCAGACAACAAAGCATGGGAAAAGAGAAAAAAAAAAGAAACGGGGGAAGTAACTTTGTTGGGGGCTGGCTCTACCTTAATGTCTACTCTTCCTCAGTGCATGCTGCTGCTCAACCTCACTTTCTAGCTCATACCGTCTAGGGAAGAGAGGTGTATTCTTAAGACACAATTCCTTGTTAAATATAGTCCTGCTAAAGATACGATTTGGAAATGCTGTCATCTCTTTGGCCACTGAGAGAGCATAAAGTTTTAAATGGGTTAAATGGGTTAATGGAGAAGGTCAGGCCTCACTCACAGAGATGGACACAAGCTGTCTGAACGATTTCCTCAGAACCTCTATTTTCCCTAGCCACCTTGTAGCCTTTGTTTCTTCACATCTTGTTCAGTGAATTTCAGACCTGGGAGTGATGGTTAATATTGTAGCTTCAAGCATTTTCTCATATTCCTAATACTACAGACATATCACAAGTATTGCTCCAAAGGGCTACTGGCTAAGAATGAATCAAACCCCAGCTTCTCTCACCTAGTATCTTGTCTCTTTAAAGGCATTTTTTTTTGGTTTATAATTAGATGACTAGAAAGGACAAACTTGAGTTGGAATTTGAGTTTGCCAGTCTGTCAGTCTGAATCTGATGAACTTTTCTAACATATTGACTAGAAAAGTGCTGCAATTTCAGATTACCTAGATCATTCTCCACTCAGCTGATATTTAGTATAAAAGTATACTGACCATATTAACTGTATCTACTATACCATTGAGGAAAGCAAGCATTTTGAAATCTCCATTGTAAGATTGTGCGTGTGTGTGTGTGTATGTGTGTGTGTGTGATGAATGTTTATTACAGAAGTTGCTGAAGGGACAGGCAAAGAGCCGTTGTAAAAGGACTAGAAGCAAAAGTCAGGAGTAACACAGGAATCAAATGGGATCCTATTAAGCTTTGCTCCATGCAGTCAAGGGTAGATACAAGCTCTACTGGGGTTATCTCTCAGGATTAGTGCCTACAGCACAACACAAAGATGAGATCTAAGTTCAAGAAGACTCGGGACTATGGGATTGTATTAGAAGCAGAATCATTTGTTGTGAGTTTCTATACCATGAAATATAAAGATGATTTGTTTCACATAGGGTCTTACCTTCCCCGGTATCCTGAAGCTTTGGTCTTTTCCTATTGCTAAGGGTAGAATCCCTATCTGTGCTTACCTTGGTTGGACTAGAAAGTCCTACTCTCATGGCCTAACTAGGAGGAAATATGGGAGGAAGGCAGGGTAATTCCCACCAAATGGAGGGCTAGACTGTGGGGAGGTGTGTCAAAGATCACTAAAGACTTTCCATGGGCTCAAAAAAACATCAAAACATTTATCAGTCTACTATACCTAATGCTAGGCTGTACAACAATTGGGACCTAGATAATCTAAGTATTTGTTTCTGGACTGAATGCATGCAGCATCCTAAAAAATACAAATCAACAAGTGCTCAGTAGTAGACATGTAATTGAATTGTTTAAACTTTGTATATATGTGGCCAAGCCCTAAAAATGTAGAATTGTGTCAAATATTAAACTGTTCATTTTCATTAAAAAATAAGCCACTCCAGAGAATTATGTTACAAGCAAGAAACTATCCCTCGCTTCAGCAGCATATATACTAAAAAATATCATCAAAGTTTCTAAATCAAAAGGAAATCATTGCTCTAAAAAGAACAGAGATCTTTCAAAACTAGTTTTCAATAACTATTTTTAAGTTAAGAATATATGCCTTAGGAAGTTATAAAAATCACTACTCAAATTAAATTTAAACTGGAAATAGACAACCAAAACTTTAAATAAAATAGCTTAAAATGCTAACAACTAACTTTCTCTATTCTTTCATTTGTAGCAAAGAGTTAATAACATTTATATATTTTCTTAGGCAAAGTTAACTAAAGATGTGCAAGGAGTTCTCATTTCTAAAAGAATCTTTCCAAACAGTAACATTAGGGTAGAGAAATGAGAAACATATAAACAACTCCTTTACTGTAG